TAGCTTGTATTTTTAAAACATACCAATTTTTGCAAATCGAGTTAATTTTGTAGTAAGATAATTAATCAACATTGTAAAAAATAATTATCAACTAGATATGTAAAAATATTAGTACGATTAAACTATTTATAAATGGGTTTTATATCTAGTAAGCTTTATAGTTTTATGTTTTAATAAACTAAACCATCAGTAATCTAGAATATTGACGCTAACCAACGCTAATTATAAATCACTCTCAATTTTTATAGAATGCGGATCAAAGCTGATTGCAGCAAATGCTGGTATGCGGGGTATAAAAGAGGCAAAACAAGGCACGGAAGAAAAGTCGGTTTTCTATTTATCTAATTTAGTACAGTTTAATAGTTCAATATTAGTTATACTTTTAATCGATACGTAAATAAAACTCTTACAATACAATAGTAATTGTATGCAATTTTATAAAATAGGCTTGTTATACCAAACGGTTTGCAATAATTTAATTACACTTTAATCAATAAAATTAGCCAATCCCTATCATACATCGCCTGCTTTGGTATTTTTTGCTGTCATTAATCAATCCATATAATTATAACTTTGTCAAAAAATCTGCAATAAAACATTGTTAACTAAATAAAATATAAAAAATTAAATCTGCAACTTTTTCTACTAGCTACCTACATTAAACTTTTTATAACAAGTTCAAATCATCATATTATAATTCCAATATATCTTTACTGCTCATTGATTCCAATTTTTTGTTTTATACTATACATAAAAATTATTTTTTAAATTATCTGAATTATTTTCTCCAGTACAATATTTTTATCATCTAAATGTTTGTTCAAAAAAATGCTAAAAGGCAGCTAAAGCTTGGATTTAGTTCTAATGGGGCTCTAACAGCTGTAAGCGAACAAAAAAAGCCTAAAATCTTAGACTCTACAGGAAATTTTCTTCAAAAAAAAAATGCTTACACTAATACTTCTTTCAAACATTCAACTTTTCAACACGATACAAGCCAATCAACCCCTATCACAACCTCAAAATATGTTGATCTCACATCCACAAATGAAAAAAATTCTGATGAGCCCCACTTAAACTCAAACTCTGCGGAAAATAAAAATAAGCTGATTCATAGAGATACCTATGATAATTTCAAAAAATACAATAATATTGGTTCTCAAGATATTAAAGATGACTATAATCCAAATATACGTGAAGCTGCTACTAAAAAAAATAAACCTAGTTTTGCTGAACTTTCTCAAAAGCGCGAACTTTCTAATGAGCAACTTGAGGCTACTGAGTACGTTTTAAAAAAAGAAAACAGTGTTTTTATAACAGGATCTGCTGGTAATAATTGAATACATTTTACAGATTTTATAAAATATAATAGAGTTTATCATTTTGACCTGATAAACTGAGATTTTTTATTTATATTTATAGGTACAGGAAAAAGTGTTCTTTTGACCAAAATTATTAAAGAATTACGAAAAAAATATGAGCACAATGATAAGGCAGTGGCCATAACAGCGCCTACAGGAATCGCTGCTTTTCAAATAGGCGGAATTACTTTACATAGTTGGGCTGGGGTTGGTATTGGGACTGATTCTGTGGATGTTCTATTTAACAAGATCAAAAAAATAAAACCTATGAAAGATAATTGGATGAATGTTAAAGCTCTTATAATAGACGAAGGTATAGTGCTTCTTTTTTCTTTTGGTGCTTTAAGGTATAAATGAGACTTATTATATTTTATTAGTGTCTATGTTGGACTGTGAACTATTTGAAAAACTTGAAAAATTAGCTAGGCTCTTAAAAGACAACAATAAACCTTTTGGTGGAATTCAGGTACTTTTACTAATTAATAAAAATTTTGCCATTATTTACTTGCCTCGATTTATTAGATAGTGCTAACTGGTGATTTTTATCAGCTCCCGCCTGTAGAACGTAAAAATAATTCGAAAAATGAGTTTATCTTTGACTCAAAACTATGGAAAGAAATTATCAAAAAAGAAATTATATTGACAAGAGTATATAGACAAAGGGATTTCAGTAAGTTTTAAATAATCCTATATTGTGCCCCTATATAATATGGCGCTACTATTGTGTTTTATAAGGCTATATAAATTTTCTTTTTTTTTTACTTAATATTGTTTAAAAACTTAAATCTGGTTTTACCTTAAATACAATTAAATGCTAATAATGTTTTGTTAATTTTTTTATAGGATTTGTAGATATTTTAAACCAAATTAGACTTGGAAAAATGTCTGAAGAAACAATAAATGTTTTAAAGTCTTTATCTAGAGAACCAAATTACCCTGATGATGGTATTAAAGCAACTGAATTATATTCTTTGAGAAGGCAGGTAGAAGAATCAAACAAAAGAAGCTTAAACTTATTACCTGGCGCTCCTCGAGTTTATCATTCAGCAAATAGTGGTAAACAGGGTCTTATTCAAGAAGAATCTATTTTACAAAAGATTGATAATGTTTGTAAATCTTTAAGGAGATTAGATCTTAAAGTCGATGCGCAAATAATGCTAATTAAAAATATGCCAGAAAAAAATTTGGTTAACGGGAGTCGTGGTGTAGTTATAGGATTTACTTCTGTGGAAGGCAATGAGTACCCTGTATGTAGATTTACCAATGGTATCAAACTTACAGTTTTCCCTGAAGAAACTGAAATTGAAATAACTCGTAACATTTACATTAGAGTACAACTTCCAATAATTTTAGCATGGGCTCTTTCAATACATAAGAGCCAAGGCCAAACTATTGATAGGCTAAAAGTTGATATGGGTACAATTTTTGAAAAAGGACAAGCGTATGTTGCTCTCAGTAGAGCTACTTCTTTAGATGATCTTCAAGTATTGAACTTTCAGTCACATAAAGTATTTGCTCACCAAAAAGTACGCGATTTTTATGCTAGGTTAGCAAAAGGCTCGCACTGAAAAACTAATTGATCACATTATTATAATAGTTTATTCTTTACTAAATTTCAAATAAAAATTTTTGTTAAATTAATAAAGCCTTTTAATCTAATACAATCTGTATTTTTTTATTTTTATGTTATAATTTAAGGATTATTTGATATGGCTATATTATAAAGATTGCAAATAAAATTATAAGAAAGCTAAAATCCTTACAGGCTCTGAAATTCAGGCTTAATTACATTTGAAAAAATCTCAATTGATAAATTTCTATTTGGATTTATTTGCGCTTGTGTATAAACGACTCTTTGGCAATCTACCGCCATTTAGTATAACCCCTTAGTGCTTGGCTTATTATGGATTAGTTATAGTTTGTACCGCTAGAAATTAAAATTGATGAAAATCGGTAGGTATAACTATTATTATTTTAGATATATTCTGAATTATCTATTTAAAATTTATAATAAATTTTATATATATAAAAGGCTTTGTTTATAAAAACAATTTTATTTTACGAATCCATACTTTAAATTGTATTAAAATATACATCAAATCAATTTAGGACACTTGTGTAATAAACTTTAGAAATAATAGAATCACGGTAAAGTAGTACAACTTATATGATAATATAATAAATAAAAATTAGAATGTTTCTTATAATACTTTTTATGAAATTTCATTTGAACTAACAAAATAAACTAATGCCCCTTATCTTTTAATAAAAACTCCTTGCAAAAAATATAGATCATTTTCTTTGCACCTCTATAAAACATGGCTACAATATTACTAAATAAATTATCAGATTTTAACTTGTCTTATATTCAAACCATTATTGGTTTTTAAAGATAACTATGTATTAAAACAATACCATTCAAATATATTAAGCGCTAGATTTATGTTTATGTCGTGTGTAATAAATTACATTTTGTAAAGATTTAACTTTATTTTTTTATGTAAGAGACTTAAGTTATGCTGAATTGCTTTAAATAATAATTCTAGGCTGTAAATAACTTTTATTTAAACTTTATTAATAAATATAGGCTATAAAAAAATTATAGTTTAAAATACAAATCGGAGAAATAAATTAAATGTAATTTTCAAAAAGCTTATCAGTGGAATGTAGGGTTTAATTGTTTAAAAATTATTTCCAATTTGATTGATTAAAAAATATTAAGACAATTGCCTAATGGGTGGATTGAACACCCGACCTTTGGTTTACAAGACCAACGCTCTACCACTGAGCTAATCAGGCTTAAAAAATTTACTTTAATATAAAATATATAATTTAATATAATTATTAACATAAATTTTGATTTTTATATTATTGTGAGTATTGTAATATCTGGTAATATTATAATAATAATTTATATTTTTTTTTATAAGTGAAATGAAAATATATACTTTTTTTGTTATGATTATATTGCAAAATCACTTTAAAATTTTAACTCTATTGTTTTTGGTATTTAGAGTTGGTTTATAGTAAATGTCGCATTTCAACTTATATTTTAACATCGTTTATATTTTTTACAAATTGCAATTTATTTATAGATCTAATAGTAATTTTAGTAAAGTAAAAATAAAAATAAATCAATTTGTTAAATGTATCTTTAAATATTTTTTTTTCTTTTTTACAATGTTAATCTTATCATATTAGCTATAAAACAAAATATTTCTAATTTTTAATAAAATTTTAAATATAATTTTAGTAATTATTGTATATAAGTACTTTTTTGTACTATATATCTTTTAAGATTAAAAATTATTTAATATAGTTAAACTATAACAAAATAAAAATAGCTAAATAAAATAATATGTTTGTAAGAATACGCTTATCTACATTCTTATAATATAGATTTAAGTAAAATTGACAGCCATTACAATATTAGAAATAGTATGCAAAATATATATTTTTTAATAATTTATATAATTGAAATAAAATCTGATTTTAAGATTAGCTAAAATTTATTATTACATTAATCTGTAATTTATTTATTGATAAAATAAAATATTAACAGAGTTTTTTTTTTTAATTTAATTGTTACCTTAGTGTAAACCAATTGATATTATAATATATTATCAATTTTAAGATATAATATTTAATGCATTAGAAACATCAGCATATCTATATAAAATTTTAAATGAATGTAAATTAAATATTAATTTTAGACAATTTTATTACAAACAAACTATAAATACAAATTTTTGAATAGTATATTTTTATATTTAGTGTTATTTCCATATCAAAAAACTCTCCCAATTACATCATTATAATATTTATTTAGTTATAATCATTGCTTTCAATATAATTTTGTCAAGTTAATTTTGATTAGTATTTATTTAAAGAAGCATATGACCAAACAAAGCTAAAATTAAATTAAATTAAATATCAAAAGATCTGTTGTTTATACAATGGAAACAGTAGATTTTTTTATAGATAAAATTGATGTTAATAAAAAATATTAAAAAAAACATTAAGATAAATTAAAAATTAATTTATCTTAGACATTTCTTAAAAATAAAAAGTGTTTTAAATTAATATATTAATTTATGTAAGACAATTTTTACAAATTTATAGTTTAGTATTTAACTTTAGAATTATCTATTATAGAGCCAGCTTATCCAGTACTGTAAAATAATAAACTGGCTAATGTTAGCATTAGAGCAAATAAAGTATTTCGAATTAATCTTTTCTCTTGAATATATTTTTGGCCTTAATTCAGATTCTAAAATACAGTTTGATTTTTACTTCAATATATCTAAATTTTGATATTATATAATAAAGTTAAAGGTATTTGTTAAAACTATAAGAATTTATTTTTATTTAGAATAATAATTTTATAAGCACAGGAATTCATTGTTTGTATCTGTATGCATAATAATTCAATGAATTTAAAGGAAATAAAAATGCCTCAATACTAAATTAGTACCACGCAATTATAAGCATTACTTTTTGTAAAAAATAGCTCCTTATGTAATACTTGTATTAGCGGATAATACAATATGTTCCTTAAAACTTTGAATATTTTATATATTGGGATAAGAAAAAAACTCCTGGTGCTTATTTCATGGTCAGTATAAGTATAAAATTAAATTTCAATTCATAACTTGACATTGCGGTCTTTTGGTATAATATGTGACAACTAAACTAGAAGGTAATGATTTTGAATCTTCAGATGTGCCAATAAAATGCACATTCATTATAGCTTATTTTTTAGTAGATTTTTTAAAAAGTTTAAAAG